GGAAAGACAACTTTTAATCACACACAGAGAGCACCTAGGTGCACCTTGCCAGGATGGAGGAGCAGATGGGATGATCCAGGAGTGACACATGCATTTCACCCTCTGACTAATGCTGTCCCACCCTACCTAATGAAAGACTCCACATTTCTGCTGTGACACACCTGAAACATGTTGCTAATGTAACTCCACAGCTCTGTAAATGGTGAAAGAGGAAATGTAATATGAAAATTCAGGGCTGTGTGTGTTTTTGCATCACTGACTCCATGGTTAAAGGAAAAAAAGAGATGTGTAAAGTGATATCTAGGAGTGAAATAATCAACTCATAGCAGTAAAATAGTTCTCAGTAGCAGCTGGGCACTAAATTGTGATTTAATTAAGACATGTGAACACAAACATTTTACTTTACATCACCAGAGTCATTAAAAGGTTAAGGAAAATAAGACCCTGAGGAATTGCTTCACTGAAAATAAAGTTTTATACCATTTGTGCATTACTTTTTGCATCTTCTTCAGCAAATTTAGGTGCACTACATTTGTGCTCACCATATCAACCTGTTTCCCTCTCAAGGAAAAGGGCATCAACATAACTCTGTGTTTTATGCCATTTACAACCTCAAGCAGAGCAAACCTTAAGGACAAACTCAGAGGTGCTTCCAGGCTTTGGCAGCTCAAGGAACAGTTTCCCAGGCTGTTTATTCCTTCCTCACACCACACAAAAGGTTCTCTCAGCTCAGGTGAATGCAAACAGCACCTTATAGTTACCCCAAATACTTTTGCAGCACACAAACAGATAATTTTCCCCTCTGAAGGGCAACGTGGCCATTCAGAACCACCAAATAACCGTGTGGGTGCCTGCCCAGCACAGGGTCGTGGTGTAGGCACTGACACCTCCCCGTGCAGCTCCCAGGGAAGGCCAAACAGCAGCAGGACAAGAGGGCACAGACTCAAACTCTGCCAGGGGAGGTTTAGGTTGGATACTAGGAAGAGATTTTTTACAGAGAGAGTGCTCAGGCATTGGAATGTGCTGCCCAGGGAGGTGGTGGATTCACCATCCCTGGAGGTTTTCAAGCTGAGACTGGATGTGGCACTTAGTGCCATGGTCTAGTAACCACAGTAGGGCTCGACTTGATGATCTTTGAGGTCTCTTCCAACCTGGTTGATTCTATGATGCTATCCTCAAAGTCCTGCTCCAATTCACTTGATGCCTCCTCCTTCCACCACCTGCAACGCTCAGAACACTTTAAACCTTTATATATGCTAAGAACACTGACCCTCACCCCTCCCTCTCTCCTGCCAGGTTGATTCCAGGTGCTCTGATAGTGACTGTTTGCTCAGGGAGACGAAGCACAGAGTGTTGGTGCTCCCTCCCTTCTCTTGAAGGGTGGAGAGTGAGGGGAAGGAGTGATGCTAACCCCCGGGGAAGGCCCTGCCGTGGCTTCCCTCTGCAGGATGGGGCGGGATGGGCGGGGAGAGCATAGAATCATAGAATCAACCTGGTTGGAAGAGACCTCAGAGATCATCCAGTCCAACCCTACCGTGGTCACTAGACCATGGCACTAAGTGCCACATCCAGTCTCAGCTTG